AATTTCTTATAAATTATTTCAGTATTTGCTTCTTCTCTAGGACCGTCATAAATATTAGAATTATATTGTCTTTATATTTTAATATTGAACTAAAAATTTACAAAAGTATTTAGAATGCTACAAAATTCCTTAATTTGAGTAATAAACTAGCGATTGTGTGGTACTAAATTGTTTGTTAGAAAATGCTCTTTCCGAATATGCTAATGATTCGCACCCTCCCCATTTGAAAAAATTGATATAATTCCAAAAATACGCTTTCACTTCAAAAAAAATTTTCCCAGATTCCTTGGAGCAAAATTAAGCATTTTAACTAATTCATGGCGCTCTAGATTGAAAAGTAAAGATTTAAATAATCTGAAGATGAACTGTCAAAAAGTGACAAATGAGGTGTCATTGTACTCGTAATATGGTTATCTATAAATGAAAAATATAACAACAAAAATAGACCTACAATATTTATAGAACTAATATAAAATATCAGAAACAATCATAATAAATATACATAAATGAAAGAATTATCAAATGTAAAAAGTTTCGTCAAATCCTTTGTCCTCCTGAATGGTACCCATCACTGAAGCCGCATTACCTCGTTCTATTGAAATGAGGAAAAATATACCTGGCGTCTCATTCAAAATAAGAAAGTTAGGGTAGTTTCCGGTCCAACCGGAAGTAACAGAAATTAGTTGAGTATGTCAAATAATGCACATTTTTGTAAAATACTTATGCACCGAATTTCATTTTGTTTTTATTAAAAATCAAAAAAGTTATAGGTGCGAGCCACTTTCTTGGGACACCTGGTAAAGTTAACAAATTAAATTAAATACTGTAATGTATTTTTTCTATTTTGGTGTCATATCGAAGTCTTTTCGACACTAAAAGTAGTTTCGAAAAGAAGCTCTTTGTGACACTCCTTTTTTACTTATCGGAAGTTGGTAACACTAGCTGATTGATGGCCATTGAACTGTCATTCGCGATAAAAAATAATAGAAGATTTCTATATTTGGCATGTAGTGTTACCAACCTAAACTATGAAATCAGAAAATATGAGAATAAAATTTCCAAGAAAAATTTGTTTTTTTTTTAATTAAACAATACCAAAATAGAAAAAATAGTATAAAATATTCGTTTCATAAGACATTTTATCGCACTCGCCCTTTAGAAAACTCGCCTCCGGCTCGTTTTCTAATATAGGGCTCGTGCGATAAAATGACGTCTTATGAAACTTGTATTTTAATGTACTATTATATTTTTTGTATAAATATTATTATTATTATTATTGTTTTGAAAAATTTTCTCACTTTTTCGAAAAGTGGGCTGTGGCAAGCTATTTCAGAGTCTACCGCTGGAATTAAGAAATGATCTGACTATATTACAAGTTTTTAGGATGACAGACTTTTGAATATTTGTTTGAATGTGTGAGTTGAGCCCGAGCTGCTTAAGGTGCGAATCGAACATATCAGGTGTAATGCCTGTGGTGGATATAACGAATGGTATGACAGTTACTTTTTTTTGTTTCCAGAGCCTCTGAACTTCTATGCCCAATTCTGTGTACTTTGATATTTTTTCGTTATATTTGTTTTGAATGTTGGAATCATTAGGTATGGCTATGTCTATAAGATAAGTGATGTGTTCTTTTTTATTTTGGAAAACTATGTCTGGTCTATTGCATGTTATTGTTTTATCCGTCCGTATTTCTACATCCCAGTATAGTTTATATTCGTTGGTATCTATGATCGTGTTTGGGACATATTTATAGTATGGTGTTTCTTCTGTAATTAGTTTGTAAGTTTTTGCAAGTGCCTGATGAATAATTCTTCCTGCCATGTTATGTCTCTCGGTGTACTCTGTACCCGCTAAGATTTTGCACCCACTGGTATTATGGTCTATGGTTTCTTTAAATTGATGACATTTTCTGCACGTATCGGTATGTATGTTAGAGTCTCTTTTTATATACTTTTGGTAGTTAAGTGTGGCTATTACTTGATCTTGAATTGCAAGGAGAAATCCCTCAGTTTCAGGAAAAAGTTTTCCATCTTGGAGCCATTTATATGAGAGTGGCTTTGATATATGTTTCTGCTCTATGATGTATCTATGCTTTTCATGTAGCTGTTTTGATGTCCATGTATTAATTTTTTGTTTTATATATTGAATTGGAATAAAGGTATCCGACGAATGACTGGTTGTGGATAGATCGAGTGGCGTATAGTTCTTGTCTGCCTTGCATACCGCTTGGTGGAGAGATGTTTGTTCATCAAGAAAGTATTTTCGGAGTAGCTGTATTTGTTTTGTGTGTAATGTTTGAATGTCTATCATACCCCTTCCTCCTTCTTTTTTGTTTATAGTAACTCTTTCTTTACAGCAATTAGGATGGTGTTTTCTATATTTAGTTAGCTCTGATCTAGTTAGGATGTGAAGATTTTCTAGGTCTGTCTGGCTCCATTTAATTATACCAAAGGAGTAGGTAAGTATTGGTACTGCAAATGTGTTGATAGCTTTAAAGAAGGTGCGAGAGTAGAGTGATGTCTTTAATATGGCTTGTAGTCTTTGTTTATATTGCTTCTTTAATTGCGTTTTTATATCTGTGTGGTTTATTCTGATGTTTTGTTCAAACCCAAGGTATTTGTATGTTTCGTTTTCTTCCATGTTTTCCAGTGTTTCATTATTTATGAGTTCTCTGTTTTCACTGGCATTCCATTTGCCCTTTTCGATGTGTAGTGCTTTACATTTACTTATACCGAATTCCATTCGTATGTCTTTTATAAAGTTTTCTGTAATTTGAAGTAGCTCTTTAAGTTCTGTTCTTGTTGATGCGTAGATTTTAATATCGTCCATATACAAAAGGTGATTTATTTTATGTTGTACTTTTTTTTGATGTTTTATATTGAACCCATATTTAGAATCATTTAGTGCGTTTGAGAGTGGATTTAGGCACATGCAGAACCATAAGGCACTTAACCCGTCACCCTGGAAAATGCCGCGCCGTATATATAGTTCATCGGTTTGGATGTATTCTGATTCTGATCTTATGGTAATTTTTGTTCTCCAAGATTTCATTATTTCTTTCAAGAAATGTCTAATATTTGGATCGATTTTATAAATTTCTAGAATTTTTAACAGCCAACTATGAGGTACAGAGTCGAAAGCCTTTTTATAATCTATGAGGTGTGGAGATTCCTGCGATCTTTTTCAGTCTGCTTTAGGATGATTGTGTTCTATAATTAATTGTTCTTTACAGGCTTGACTAGATTTTCTGCAACCTTTTTGTTCTTCTGAGAGTATTTATGTTTGTTAGGTGAGTATCTATTTTTTTGCATATTGTGGCTGTTATTATTTTATATAATGTGGGTAGGCATGGGTCTATAGTTAGCTGGATTCTTTGTGTCTGCGTTTTTTGGTTTAACATATGTATTACCTTGTGTCAGAAATTTAGGAAATATGTATGGGTCACGGATGCAATTGTTTATTTCCCTTGTAAGTATTTCATAAGTGGATGAGAACTGTTTGTACCAGAACTTTTGTATCTTATCCGCTCCTGGGCATTTCCAGTTTTGTGTATGTTTGATGGTCTCTTAAAGTTCTTCTTGTGTGATGTGATGATCCGTTTGTACTTGTATGTTATCGTGTCTTTCCGTTTCTATTCGAATCCAATTTTTACTGTTATTATGTTGTAATGGTGTTGACCAGATATTTGACCAGAATTCTGTAAGTTCCTGTTTAGAGGGTATTTCAGCTGTAGGAACGCTTTCTTGTGATAGCAGAGTTTTATAAAATTTCTTTTCGTTTCGGTTAAAGACAAGATTTGTATCTTTTCTTTCATTTGATTCCTTATATCTGCGTAATCTACCAACGTAATCGGAAAGCTTTTGTTTCATGGTATCAAGGATCTCAAGCTCAGACTTTGTGTTATTGTTTTTCAGAATTTTTTTGATTGATATTTTTTTCTTTTTAGATTTGTTGCCGTTCAGATGTTGCGTCATATGTCCTATGTCCTTTCTTAAGTTCTCTATTTCACGCTCTATTCTGATTTGCCAGTTCGGTTTATGTTTTATTTTTATCTTTCCTATTTGCTGTGTGATTTTTTGGCCATTGTGTTTAATTATTGTGATTGCTGCTGTGTATATAATTGTGTGAATGTCTTCTAATGTGCTCTTGGGTATTAGGCACTTATGGATTAGATTGTTTGTTGTGCTGATTATTTTTGATGTATGTGGTTTAAATATTAGTTTTGGGATTGGATTTCTTAAATTTGGGTTAGTCCCTTGCCAGTAAGACACATTCGTTTCCATTTCTTGCGCTAACTGCTGTTCGTCTATTATTTGTTGCATGAGCAATGCACTTGGTTGTGTAATTTCTTGCTCTACGTTCAGCTCTAGTGTTTTATCCGGTACAGATTGTAGGGATGTATGTATGTCTTCGTTATGTTCTTCCATATCTTTCCTGTTAGTTTGTATATCCGATTTCTCACTATTATTGTTCAGCTCCTGTGCAACTTCTAATTTTATCTCTTCTAATTCTTTGCCCGTGAGTCTATTGTTCTTCAAAATTACTCTTTTTTGGTCTATGAGTCGTTCTTCTGTTACTGTTTTAGAGAGTTCTGGGTATGTTTTGAGAAAAAGTGCGTGGAGTTCAAGTCTGTATCCTGTTTAAACAGTTTCCAGTTTAGTTGCTTTGTAGTAGCAACGCATGACAGTTCGATTCATTTGGTCACTCCACGTCATCCGTTGCCGTCTACTACAAGCCTTTGTGGTTGCTGGAAATCCAGGCAAAGCACGTTGGGCTGGGGTACCATTAATATCTTGGACTGATCCGTTGATGGGTGTATTGTTATCACTATCACTTTCTGGTGTTATAAGTTCAAAGTGTCCTGCTGACGGATTGCCAATAAGAAGCAGATGTATTGTTGCAGCATGTTTTGATTTACTGATAACTGTTGGTTTGGTTTTTATGATTATTTACTCTGCTTTAGTTGTTTTGTTTTTTGAGTATACATAAAAATTTACTTTTAATATTTCTGATAATGCCAATATCTCCAAGCTCGTTCCATATGTCGATGATTTTATCATATGGGAGTAGTAGTTATCTATAAGAGTTAATTCCTGGGATTCTACAAACGCAAAAAATTTAATTTCTTCCCAGTGTTGTTTGATATAACTCAGAGCATCTATTCTTAGTTCTTTGTGTTTATCTTGATGGCCATGTAGATACTGACTCGCTGCTCTAAACAAACAACTCCCATCCCCAACAATATCCATTCTAAGGAAGATGGTGTTTCCATGGTGCTGGGTAGAGTTATCTTTCAGATTATAGTCGGCTGTAGGTTCTTGAGGGACAGGAGCTCGCCTGTTCAGCTTCCTGCCGCCGACGTCCCGCATACTGTCGAGTTCAGCATCGGCTCCAAACCCGCTTTGGCGATCCCCAGGCAGCGATTTTTTTCCGAGGCTTTTTTCTTTCTCCATTTTCATGGGTGTGTTGTTACTCGTTTTTGGGGAGTTGAGGAAAAGTGTAATCCTGTAATAACCTCAGGGGGACTTAGATGGATATCCGAAGTGGATATGGGTTTTGGATTGGGATATTTTATATGGATGGGTGTAAAAAGGAGATAAAGGTGTGAGGACGGCGGTCAGCCGGCGTCCCTGGCTGTACCGTCTACGCATTCGGTAGCAATAGATACACAGCTGGATACAGTGCTTTATCGGCCAGACATTATTATTATTATTATTATTATTATTATTATTATTATTATTATTATTATTATTATTTTATTTTTTTTCCTCCTTTTCAGGGTTGTTCAGCAACGAATACCAATTCGTGATCATTCACGCTGCTTCAAACTTGCGATTATTTCAGCAGGATTTCGCCATTACATGTTTTCAGGTGAGTTAAGAGTCTTCCTGACAATCCTACACGTCTCCAATACGACAGATTTCTGCATATCAGGAAACACTTCTTTATGATTTATTTTTAGAGTTTGGACGTATTTTTTCAAGTTTTTTGTTGCCAATCCGGTTGCAGAGATGACTATCGGTAAAACTTCGACTTTTCTCAAATTATTAATAGATTTGAATTCATCTGCCAGCTCAAAATATTTACTTATCTTTTCCCTTTCTGTTTTATTTAGGTTGTGATCGTTCGGATGAGCAACATCTACGAAGTACCCAATCTTGTCCTGTTTGTTGAGAAGCACGATATCTGGTCGGTTGTTTGCCACAGTCTTCTCGGTTTGTATTGTTGTGTTCCAGTATAAACGGTAAGTATTGTTTTCGAGAATGGGAAAAGGTACGTATTTGTAGTATCTTTCTTTTTATTCTTTCAGGTTGCACAGTATTGCCAGTTCTTGATGGATTATGTTCGCAGTCAAATTATGTCGTTGGAGGTATTCAGTTGGAGCAAGGTAAGTACATCCTGAGATAACGTGCTCTATTGTTTTATTTTATGTGATTTTTTGTTGCAATTACATTATCTTGTATTGCTACCATGAATCCTTCTGTTTCTCCAAACATTTGTCCCTTCCGTAGCCACTCAGTTGAGGACTGGAGATCGGCATCATTCAGCTTATTGGGAAATCTGCCGTGCAACGGTTTTGACAGCCAAGCAGTCTTCAATTCAGCCATAGTTAGCACAGGAAGATGTTCATTGGAGGACTGATTTACAGGTGAGTAGTGATCTAGGACGTGGATTATCTTATGCAGCTCTGATTCTTCAGTTTTGATCTTAAAGTACTTTTTCAGTTTATTTATCTGTCTCTGATATAGGGTTTTGAGATCTAGCAGGCCTCGTCCGCCTGTGCTACGTGGCATATACAGCCGTTCAGTGCAGGCTCTTGAATGGTGTATATTCAACTTGGTCAGTTGTACTCGGATGGATCTATTTGTAGCTTCAAGTTCAGTTTGTGACCATCCAATAACCCCGAAGGAGAACGTCAACGCTGGCACTGCCCATGAATTAATAGCCTTTATTTTATTTTTCGCTGTAAGTTCTGTATGAAAAATGCTGGACACTCTGGTTTCTAAAGTTTTATTTAATTTTTCTTTTGCGCATTTTCGATCTATTATTAGTCTCTGTTCGTAGCCCAAATACTTGTAATTATCTTTGTTTAAATAGCGAATATTTTCATTTTCTAGATTGTCAAATTCTTGGGGCTTTCCTTTGCGGGCTATCAATTTAGCACATTTGTCTAATCCGAATTTCATTTTTATGTCAGTGCTAAATGTTTCCGTGAGGCTAATTAATCGATTTAGGTCTTTCTCTGTTGGAGGGTAAAGCTTAAGATCATCTACATAGAACAAATGAGATATGATGTAACTCTGCTCACCATTCTTGAGTTTGTATCCCAGACCCGATTGACACAAAGCTTTAGATAGAGGATTGAGACTGAGTATAAACCACAGCGGGCTAAGCGAATCTCCCTGGAAAATTCCGCTCTGTATGGGTATTTCCTCGGTTGTTATTTGTTGTTCTGCTGTATTAATAAGCAGTTTCGTTCTCCAGGTTCCCATACATTCTCTTTTTCCATAGTTGAGTTTTCATTTATCATTTTGTGTCCCATTACTTCCACTGTGGTTATGGCTGCGCTATATACTATGAGTTGTGTTTTCAGAATTGGGTCCTCTTCGCTAAGTAGCTTGGGTATCTCCGTGCTAATTGTTTTCAGTACTTTTTCCGTTTTTTTATTCGGTCTTATTTTTAGTAATTTTGGTCTGCACTCCGGATCAGTTCCATCATAAAGGATCATATTTTTACTAAATATATCCTTGATCTGTTTTTCTACTGCATCTTCTTTTTTTGTTTCAGGGTTCTGTTCTTCAATCATGTTGTTGTCGTCCACAAATTCTTCTTCAGCTTCTGTATCGTTTATCGCAGGTAAGTTTATTATTCTTCTTGCTCTTTGTTGTTTTATTTGAATTTGGTCTTTAATGCTGTCTACTTCAAGTTGTGTAAGGAGTTTATGTGTTCTTATAGCATACAATTGATTCGCCAGTTGGCTTGTAGCATTTTCAATTTCTTGTTTGATATGCTACTCTGTTTTGCTCTAGTAGATATGATTCTATATAGAACTACAATGAAATAAATGAATAAACAACTGTCTTTTCTGTGCCCAGATTTTATTACCTTGATTACTGCCTTCTACTGAAAGTTTTTTTGTGCAGGTTTGCAAGTTTTGTTGATTGATCTAGGAAGGTTTGATTCAGTACGGCAGGGCCCGCTGTTATTGATTAGAATCTTAGGAAAAGAAGGTAGTACCATCATCATCGCTGTTTGCAAATCCAATCAATGATCTGAGGTTATGATAAACTGTTGTTTACTCTTTGATTTTTCATTTCCATCATGTCATTGAACAGCTGTTTTGTCTAGGCGTTTTCTTTAGACCTGTTCTACTTTTTGATATATGTTCTATAGGCATTTTTCAATATTCACCAGTCATTTTTATACAACCAAACTTTCAGTTCGTATTCTTGGAGTGAAATTGAACACGCTTTTTTCTATAATTTTCTTCAATGTCAAAATTAGAAGTTTGACAAGTGAAAGCCTTCTTCCGAAATCTAAAGGAAGAATCGGCCCTTTTGATCTTGAGACTTGATACCGAAAGGTTGGTCTCGGCCTATTTGATTTTGGGCGAGACTTTTTGGAATTTTGTGCCAGGGAACTCAAGGTTTAGACTAATTTCTTATTGATAATTGTCTAAAGTCGTCCCTTGGTCATTTTGGATTTTGTTTCGGTAAGTTTGAGATTTTCTTCAGGATTATTAACCTACAACACGTGTTTCGTTTCTTCAATAGGACTGTTCCGAGCAGCTTTTGGAAGTTTAAGACTTCACCTTTGGTCTAGAGTATCCCTCAATTTGAGGTAAGATTATTTCTAATATTTGGGGCTCGATTTGTTTTTTATACGAACATCGTTATAGGGTCCTACTCCTAGTCCTAGTGCTAGGCTGTAGCTAGACAGTCTTAGGCTATAGTTGGACAGCTCCTAGAAAGAGATTCTAGACTAGATCTAGATTGCTCTCAGTTGGACAGTTGCTAAGCTGTATTTAGAGAAATTTCAGGGATGTCTTGAAAAACTCACACTTCTCGATGTTTACTGTAAGGTTAGCCTCTTTCAATTTATTTTTTACTTCGATCAAGATCTTAGTATGATGTTCGAAATCTGGACTACAGATAAGTATGTCGTCTAGGTAGGTAAAAATATAGGGCTCATAACGGGGACCAAAAATTGCATCGACTAACCTCTGCTACATCTGCGCTGCATTGCATAGTCCAAAGGGCACAACTTGGAATCTAAATGAACCTCGTCCAACCACATTAAAGGAGGTTTTATCCCTCGAATCTTCACCAAGTGGAATTTGCCAAAATGCTTTCCGAAGATCAATGGAAGAGATGAATTTAGCATTCCTTAAGGAATTCAAAATCCTATCAATGCTAGGCAAGCAGTAGCTGTCGAAGCGAGTGAGAGCATTCACACCCCTTAGATCGACGCACAACCTATATTCTGCACTAGACTTTTTGACCAAGAGTACCGGAGATGACCAAGGACTATGAGATGGCTCTATAACACCTAACTTGAGCATATCATCTATTTCTTTATTCAAGATTTGAGACATGTATGGCGACATCGGATAGGGTTTCTTATGAAATGGTTTAGCATCACCGGTATCTATGGACAATGTCAATTTGTCAGTTCTACCAAGACAGTCTTTACTCACAATTTCATTGAAAGAAGCGATAACCTATTCAGCACAAGTTCTTTCGAAATAAGAAAGGTCACTTAAGGAACAAAGAAGTCGCACAGGGTCATAACATAAATTATTGGCACAAACCTTGACAGTTTTGACTTCATGGTTATCAATATTACCATAAACTTGCCAAGAATTGTTCCTAAAACTAACAGAAATCTTAAAATGATCGGCAAAATCACAACCAAAAATGAAATAATGAGGCAGAGATGGCACAACTAAAACTGTAAGGACCTGACAAATATTTCCAACACTAATTGGAAGATCAACTAAACCAGTAACAGCTTTCTGAGTACCATCTGCCGTACATATATTTGCAACTGAACTTGCATAAACACATAAACCCAAACGTTCCAAAATATCCAGGCCTTTACTACCCACAATAGATGTGGTAGCACCTGAATCTAACAACACTATAATTTCCATATCAAACAATTTGACAGATATGTAGGGCCGATTATCTAAAGGTTTCCTAATGAAAAGAGGGGACAATTCACACTTCCTATATTTCTCATTAAACTCAGAAATAAATTTAAGCCAATTTTTCCAGTCTGCACTGTTTCTGGAAAACTTGAAAGAAGAGGACTTCTGAAAAGTTGTACAACTGCCTCTAGGCTGCACAACGCCTAGTTTTTTGTAGAATTAGGGCATGAGTTGGACTTTACATTCTTGTGACCACACTTATAGCAAAAAAGTTTACGTTTCAAGGTACAGTTGTCATGGTAGTGATTT